GCGAAACGCAATAATAATATTAATCCTATATGGCCCCAAAACTTTTGAGTGTAAATAAAAACACTTTTATTTAAACACCATATTGATTACTCATTATTCATTGCTTACTGTTTCAGAAAATCAACTTATTACTCGAATTATAACCACAATTGTCCCATGCTCCAAGCATGCACACTTTGGTTTCCTATGGTCCATACTTTGTGAAATTGAAAAACTTTTCCAATGAAACTCATTTCACAATCCCCAATCCTTATTATTAGTATAAGAATACCAAATTCTTGCCACTTTTAGAATATTTCAGATTCTAACATTTTATGCAATGATTCTTTCGTAATGATTCTGTCAGTTCGTCTGTTGGCTGACTGTATGTTTATCTGTTATATATGTGCACATAGTTGGTTGGTGGTTGAGGCTTTACTGCTTTATGCGTGAACTAACAGACCGAGGGCATTCTAACCCGATAGTTGAGTGGGCCCAAGGGTATTCCATCCCGAGGATGACAGAACCTGTTATGTAATGACATTCCAACCCGATGATTGATGGACCCGGGGTATTCCAACTCGATGGTTAATTGGACCCATAGTGTATTGGCATTCCAACCCGATGGTTGAGGGGCCTGGGGTATTCCAACCGATGGTTGATTGTACCCGACATGTTGTTATTGTATATGTTATTTGTTTGTGTGTTGGTACTTTGGGGAACTCACTAAGCGTTGGCTTACAATTTTGGGTTATGTTTCAGGTACTTCAAATGACCGCGGGAAGGCAAAGGCGTGACCATACACATCCTCATGACTTGACTTATGATTTTGGGAAAACTCTGATGTTGAAATGTTTTTGAAAACTATACCTGTAATCAATTTGTGAATTTGGTTGGTTTTAAAAAGTTTAAATTTATCATGATTTTTATGGATGTTACATACCCATCCATATGTTTGATAACTTTCTAACCATAGAAGTTTCATCTTCCAGTCCAAGAAATTGAATAAAACCAAATCTTTTGCCCAATTGTGATGGCTTCCTAGCAATGTATACATCCACAATCTTACTAAATTTAGCACATTCCAACCACAATCCCTTATAGTCCAACTAGAGTGGAAAATTGGTGATGTAAAAGGTGGAAGCAATTCGATTCATCTCATTTTCATACAAATTTCCAATCGGAACAAAGTCCTTCCCAAGCTCTCCACCCTGATTATCAGAACGATTACCTGATTGAGTATGTCCCCCCCCCCCCCCCCAATTTTCCATGTCCATCCTTTATCATTACGGAAGCCCTGCTTCCTTTCTCCTATATTCCACAGGTTCGTGACACAATTAGTCGTGATCGAACTACTAAGAATTCTTGAAAAAAAATCCACCTGGAAGAATAGTTGATCGGCGTTGATCCTGCCGGGAAGAAACCCCCGCAATCTGTTATATAATGAAACCATAATCTATAAAAATGTGAAATGTATTGATTCGCAAAAGTAACTCTAGGATTTTATGAAATGAACTTAGTGTGCGAGCTTTAGATATCGTCAAACAACATATACACAAATAACTTATATTGATAAATACAATAATCTAATAAATATACATTCGCCTTGTGTAGAAAAACATAAAAAAAAATACGATATCAACAATTCTCTTTATTACGAGAATAAAAACCAATTGGTTTTCAGGATACCTACAGATCAAATCTCACTACAATAACACTTACACTCAGATATCTAAACTCGAACAACAATCAAACATATACAAACTCGATTAAGACTCATACACAAAAGAATGGCTGAAACCCTAATGAACTTTAACGTGAAAAACTTAAGAGAAACGGAGAGTGAACTGCAAGACTAATCGCGAGAGAATGACCAACAATGACCTAAAACACATGTTAAATACTACTGGTCATAAGCTTGGGTTAAACACAGGTAAGATATGTACCACACATGATACTCCGACCCGATATACACTTGATACTCCGAGCCGATATAGAGTCCATGCCTTTTTTACCTTTAAGAGAAACGAACCACAGTCCCTGTAATTCTACAATGCACACATTCGGTACTTCCAACTTTAACCTGTCAAAACCCTTAAGAAACAAACACAACACAAAATAACCCCTTTTATATTTTCCTTTTTCAATGATAATCTTGCCAATTTATTCCATTATTCTCTACAAATTGATTCCATTTTGTTGTACAAATCGTTTGCCAAAAGCTAAAAATATGCACTCGAGAGCATTTGGGGTATTTTGGTGAAAAGTGCTCGTAACAAAATCATAAAACAAGTAAAATGATAAATTATACAAATAAGAATCATTCACAATTATGCAAATCCTAATATCCTATTTTATAAAATACTTATATCTATTGCGTAAACATTTTTATATTTTTTGTGATTACCCTTTCTTAAAATGTCAGTTGAAAATAATGAAAATAATTTAAGGTACATTCACGAATCTCGAGACGATCTGATTCTCTCGTTCTCCAAGTGTTTTGATGTTTTGTATGAATCTTTTTGTCGATTCGATTGATATTCCAAAGGGGTTGTGTTTGTTCTTTGGGGATGGGAACTATCACTGTGGCTGTCAATATGGACCCACTCCACTTTTGTTTTTTGTTTGTTTTTTTTTTCTTCTAAGATGTTTCTGCCTTATTTTTGTCCCTAGATTACACCCCAAGCAAATGTAACATGGTCTTTTTGACCAGTATGTTTGACTCGTTCACAATTCTATACTGTTCAATTTGAGGAACTTGTCCTATTATTTGGTAGTTTGTATTGGAATACCTTAGTTCTAGTTTGTCATTGTCGTATGTATTATGTCAACTCATGGATTTTCATTGCTTATGTCACATTATTTACAGTTTAATAAAATCTTACTATTCTTTTAGTTAGTATGAAAATAATTATTCATAGATTCGTTTCATATGTATTAAATTTAGACATTGGGTTATGTGTTTTGATTCTTGCAAACACCAACCTAATTTCCTAAAATACAAAAATTGTGTATGATAAGAACTCAAAATACATATGGGATCGAGACAAATATAGTTAGTTTATATGTCCGATTTGAATGTGTAAAAGTGTTGTCTTCAACTAAACAAGATGATATGTACTTAAAGCATTTTGTATTATGACTAAAAAAACATAATTTTGCATAAAAATATCAAACTAAGATTGTTAGTCTTTTAATATTTGAAATTAGTTTAGGCTACGTTGATCTATCATTTTTTTTTAAAGTTATAAATAGTTATCACATAAAACAAGATATTATTTTAATTATTGTCGTTGTTTTAACTATTTGGTCCATTTTAGGAGCTTTTGATATGTTTGTGTTTGTGTGTGTTTTTTCTTTTGAGAACAAGAATGTATAATAATTGCTTTTTTCCAAGCTGTTTTAATAATAGTAATAATTTGGGTCAAAGATTTTGTCCAAAACCCAGAGGAAAATAGGTTGCTTTGATGATTGCAGTAGTATCTAACATCTCTCTCTTCTCTCTCTCTTATAATCATAACAAAATCTCTGGATTCCTCTTTTTCTTTTTCACTATGACTCCGATTGTGACCCACTGACCAACCTGCCCTCATCTCATCTGGACCCCCACCCCCAAATCCAAGCCCAAACCTAACCCCATCACGTGACCTCATGGCACTGGTTCACCACACCCACTATAATTACGGAATTACCCCTCTAACACTCTCATTGTTCAATTTAGTTAAGTTCTTGAACAAGATATTTGAAGTATAATTTGGATGATAGTTGGATTATAATTTGAAGAGGCAAGGACATAATGGTAATTACAGAAAAGGATTGTGCGCCTCGTGATCGGAGAAGTGTAGATCCATGGAAGACTGTTCCCCTGGTCACGTGGCTTCTTTTGACCATCTACTCCCAAAAGAAAACAACCCCCTCAAAACCCTCTCTCAATCATACCATTTTTGAATCTCTCTTTATTTGTTGCCAACACTTTGTACCATTGTTTTTCATTACTTAACTACAAAGAATAATGCTTCTATTATACTTTATTTAATACCTTCAATTTTAGATTTGGTATTATAACTTTTACTATCGTACATATATACGTCCATTTTAACATCAAATTATAGTGTAATAGAAATAGAACTTACGAATTAAGAAAATCGGCTACAAAACATAAAATTGGATAAAGGGACTAGATGATACCACATGCTCTACTTCTTTCTATATTTGCAATATTTTGTTATCAAATTACTTCTAACCTATCATTAGAAAAGGGCCATCAACTATAAGTTAAGAGTACAAGTACTACTTTTATATTATATTACCCCTGTAATTTAATGTAAACTTTTCTATGATATGTTTTTAAGACAACATTAACTAGATATGTATATTTATTCATAATGATGTATTTGATTTTTATTTTTTTTATAACAATGTCCTCCTACTTTCTTTTCTTTTTTTCAATCTTATTAATTAAACTAAAATATATCGTCAAATGTAGAAAACAAAAGTTGGAACATCTGAATTTCCAACAATTTAGCAAGCTTGATTTTCTTTCACTCCCATAACATTCAAACTATTATCCAATCTCAACAAACGAACTTACACAATTTTTTCGTTACAAAGGTGAAAGAAAACGCAAATATGAATTTTATATAAATATATGATATTATAAATAGAAAAATGTAGAGTATTTATCTACGTGTACTGTTTTCTGAGAAACACAGTACTCATCCATACGAGGAACAAGACAAGACGACAAAACTACATATGTGGAATATTCACAACAACTGGACCCACTCGTCTATACCTATATAAACACCTCAACCCCCCTCCCCTCATTGCATTCCATCAGCATCAGCATCATCCTCTCATATCATATTCTTCTTCCAGTTCTTCATTGGCCCCCCAAAACTCAACATCCCCAAAACACACGTTAACATCACCAACTACTTCATCTGCAACTCTCTTTGCATTGACCCTTATTTCATCATCACCTTCTACTCTGCTTACCTAGTTACATTGACACATTAAACATGAACAGGTGCACTGGTTCAACCATGATGGGTCCCTGTTCTTGTGGTCTCTACCATTATCAACAAAACTCCTTCTCTTCCATATTCCCAATGCCTTACGAAGAAGAAATCATGTGTCCTTATTCGTCGTCGCCGTCTTCCGTCGATTGCACTTTGTCTTTGGGTACGCCGTCTACTCGCTTGACGAACGACAATGAAAAGCGCCGTGGGTCAAACTGGTGGAACATTTTGCAATCTTCTAGCCACTCCTCTGCGCCATCTGGTCATAAATCCAATCGCGGTGGCGATGGTAATGGCAATGGTAACGGTTCTGCCGCCGCTGATAGTCTGTTTTCACGGCGGTGCGCTAACTGCGACACCACTTCTACCCCGCTTTGGAGGAATGGACCTCGTGGCCCTAAGGTGAGCTTATAGTTCTTTATATTTATCTGAAAATTAAACCGAACAAACGGAATGTAGCTATAGATAAAGAAAAGTGAATCGAATTCTAATTAAACTGTTGTTTCTTTGCAGTCGCTGTGTAATGCATGTGGGATTAGATACAAGAAGGAGGAGAGAAGGGCGAACGCCGCGGCGGCGGCGGTGGTTTCGAACGGTGGAAGTGATTCGACGGAGGGATACCAGCACCACCACCAATACATGATGAACAACGGGAACCAGTGGATGAATCACTCACAATCCACCTACAAAATGCCGTCATGCTACTCGACGGCGTCGGCGGCGTCGAATGAATATAGGTTCATGGATGACGTGGACGACAGAGATTCGCCATTCCTCTCGTGGCGGCTTAACGTCACTGACAGACCAGGCCTCGTCCATGACTTTACTAGATGAAAAAAAAGAAGATATAATATATTTAATTTAATGATGACGTGGCGTATCCTGCTGTCCCACCCATGATGACGTGGAAACGTGGGGACGTTCTTTTTCTTGTTCAAAATTCTTTACGTTAGGAAGATGTATTAGATCTGGGGTTTTTTTTTTCTTTTTCTTTTTTTTTTCTTCTCTTGAGCTTTAATTTTAATAGTAGCAGCCTTTTTTTCACTTTTGCCGGTCAAATTATTTCTGTTGTTATTTAATTTTGCTTTGTTAACTTTAATCCAATATGAACATCTTTACTCTTCTTTATTCTTTTTGTTCCACTCCATAGTTGGCATTCGATTGATCTTTATTGATGGTTCATTATGCTTCTGATTCCAAAAAGGGTAATAAGAATGTGGACCGGAGGTGCTGCTGTGTCGGCATAACTTACATACTCTTTATAGTGTGTTGTGTTTTGGTTATAAAAGAATTATTAATATAAATAAAAACATAACCAACTTCATATAGAATTCACTAAACATTTAAATTCGATTATCATATGTCTATACATAATAACATAATTTTAAAATAAAAATTATATAAGATAATTGACAACTAAAGAGAAATGTTAAACAATTTGTGTATGTTTTTGCATGAATATTTCTATGTTATAAACTAAAACCTGGAAAAATAGCTAATAATTATATACAAATAGTGTGGAAATAGTTTATGTTTGACTAAGAATTTCACTCTCGAACGAACCATTGAGGATATACACAAATATGATATTATAAATTATGTTGGTGATTTGTATCACTAATATTATTTGAGTGTAATGTGATTAGTTTGGTAATTAAAATGCAATCTTGATGAATATTAAACAAATTAGACTGATGTAGAGGACACATTTTTTGAGTTTATTCAAAATCCAAAGTACACTGTCATTTAGAGGCGAAGCCCCTGAACCGACGGGGGTTCAGGGGCAGCGCCCTTAGTAGCGAGGTCCAAGGGGTAGAGCCCTTGGCTGAGGTCGATATTGCTTTGTGGAAAACGCATTAAAATCCAAATTTGAGAAAAAGAACTCACTTTTTTACCCTAATCTTGAACCCGATTTAGTGACAGTTTGAAATGGTTAAGAAACTGCCATATGGTGGTATTTTGGCAGTTTTCATACAATGTAGTTTTCAGAGAAAAAAGTTATATCCTAATACTGGTCATTCTCATTTTTCTCTGGTATATCATAAGATCGTAACATCTTTTCATTCTCTATTCTTGACATCGAGTTTGTCCGGTCTAAAGATTTCAAGAGTACCATAGAAATAATTTGATTTGAAAGTGTAAATCACGGATCACAGTTTTACAAGTATTCTAAACATACCGATTTTCTAACATATTCTACTGAGAATAACCTAAAATAGAAAACAAGAACCACAATTAGAAATTCTACCGAGAACAACTGGAAATAGAAAACAAGAACCACAATGTGAAATCAAAATTTTAGCATGGAAAACCCTTCAAACGATATAAAAACCATGGGACCATTTAGGTCTCTTAAGTAACGTGCCAATTTTCAAAACAATTTTTTCATTTTTATTTATTAAAATATATCAGAGTATGATTACATTGTGCGGAAACATGTTGCAAATGCACGTGTGTATAATCGAACATTGTCATTCTCACGAATCACTGAAGTACCTGAAAAACATTTTTATTCAACTGGGTATGCACGAGACTTAGTAAGTTCCCAAAAATACCATTTGCTACAATACATATACATGGATACATATAATGGCTCACGATATGCCAATAATACGTGTACTTACAGCCTACGCGCCATTTCGTTAACACGAGTCTATGTATACTTACAACCTACGCGCCATTTCGTTAACACGCGATCTTATAGGCTCATAGCCTCTTTAACCGTTCCACCATCATCCCCTATCTAAGTCTATAATTACAAGAATTACACGCATAGAGACTACTCTTTAGATTCTACTAGTTCAGGCACAATTATACTTTCTACTCTACCAGTTTACATTTAAGCACATAGAGACTATTCTATCACCTCTACTCTATTATTTCTCCATCCTAACATACATGAACATGTATTGTAATACATAATATAGTAATATAACTCACCTGGACAGTTTCCTAAAAGATTAACAGCTTTTTGGGTGATCCCATTGGTGGTCAACGCGTCTAACGAGTATTAACCTATAATACTATATTTATTACTCCATGTGGGAACCTAGTAATGGATGATTAGATCTTTCACTAATCCTAATGAATACTAAGAGTTCTATCAAATAAAATCAACCAGGCAAGACAATTGGGGGGATGACCATTTCGACATATAGCCTTTCTGGAATCCAACAACCAAGCCAACGTGACCATTCTAGACACTTCTCTCGTAAGTAGATCAATCACTATTATAACTTGGAATTACTGAAGAATCTAACATTTATAGGTTCCTAATAACGATTATAATTATGAAAATAAGCAATCCTAAAAGCTTAGTAAGCGTAGTTGCACTTACAGAGGTTTTTAGCGGAAACCAGGATTTATGCTGGCAGGACTCCAACCCGAGAGCTTTTAATTCCCGAGCCCTCTAATGCTCCAGAACTTCGCTAAACCAAATACTCATAAATCCCGAAGAAAAACCTATTTTCGTGCCTAAGAACTAGAGAGGAAGTTTAGAAATGATGTGAGGAAGAATGGGAGGTTTGAAAGTTATTTATAGGTGAAATTCCAGCACGCGTGCCACACACATGGCTCGAGTGCGCCGCACACGCGGTCGACTGGGTGAGTTGACTCCTATGAAAATGTGACACGTGGCGAGATTTGGATGGCCTGTCAGAGCGCGTTGCGCGTCTCGTCGGCGCGTACCGCGCACACACGTATTTTCAGTTTTTTTTTTCAAGAAATCATATCTTCTTCATATGAGCTCCGTTTCAACGTTCTTTATATCGACGCGTAGCCAAGGTTCTAAATGGCGTGAGGTGTGGTGTGGTGGCAAGGCCAAACCTCAAGCTTTACGAGCCATGGAGAGCCATGATGTTTTTCAAGGCGTGATGTAAGGCGGCGATTTTGTATTAATTTATAATTATATTACCACATAAATTTAAATTTATATCAAATGTAACCAATTTTTAGAAGTGTTATATCAATAACTAATAACAAGAAGTTATCAAAAAACCAAATACTTGTATCCCCGATTAGAAGAGATATAACAAAGAGCAAAAAAAATGTGTCTCAAACGAAAAAACATCCGGCATAACATGCCATGGCACGCTATATCACGCCTTGTCACACGCCACACCTAACATCAATGTTATGAGGTGTTTCGTAGCCGTGAAGTCATGCCTCATGCCATGACACGTCTTGACGCGCGTCATGACGCACCTTTTAGAACATTGCGCGTAGCTATCGACGAGATCTACAACTTTCATTTAGACTTCATCGGCTAATTCTCACTTTATTTTTAAAGTTATATTTTTAACAGACTTAGACTGTTAAATTCCGTATAAAAATTATAACTTATCCATACGAATTCCGTTCTCGAATGTCTTTATATCGACAGAATCATATCAACGAGATCTTCGACTCTTGTTTAGATTGTTTTTCCTAACAATCGACCGATCTTGATTTCGGTTTATGTGTCGCATATTGCTATGCTGAAACTTCTGAAAATCATAACTTACTCATGCGAAGTTAGATTTGGATGTTCTCAATATGCACACTCTTGGTTTTACGACTACTACGACTTTCGTTTAGATTTCTCAGGCTAATAAGCAACTTATCTAAAATTCACTTTTTACGATACGCTGAGCCGTGTCAGTTTAATCGCAAAACTTCGAAGAAACATGACTTCTTCATACCAGGTCGGATTTATGCGTTCTATATATCTACGAAAATCATATTGACGTTTTTTACATACTTACGATGAATATTTTGGCTCAAAATTAATATATTTTTACTTTGTATTTTATAATAATTGCTTAATATTACAATCTACGAAAATAGTAAAAATGGGGTGTTACATAACCACCACAAAAAAATGCAAAGTCATGTATAGAGACATAATAACCATCATATATTTGAAACAAAAATACATCAAATATATATAATCAATGTAGGAATAATATTCGGTAATGTACGAAAACAAACAAGAAAATAGAAAAACTGAGACATGTGTTTAACACATTGTCCTTAAAACAAATTCGTCCGCTTCCGGGTGTTTGTTTCCCAGGATACAACAGTTTGAAGTGGTTCTTCTAGACCACCCGAACCCTCAATAGGCCTGGATTATATCCTCAATATAGCTAGAAAAAGAAGAAGATGAAGTGGGGAAGAAGAGAGTTTTCTTTCATTCTTTTTGGTCCCCTCAGATGGTTGTAGAGCAATGATATATATACTACACATTCTATAACCTCCCATTTAAACACTTCTATTAATCACAAGATTAATGTGTTTAATATGTAATTAAACTGTAATATTAATTACAATTTCAGTTACAAAAGAAAGAAATATTTGCAAGAAAGGTCCCTGAACTTTTCTTTTATTTCACCCACTATTAGACTCTTTTATTTACTTCTTCCAACACCCTTACTTTAAGGATTAATTTTTCATTCGTATTAAATCCGTTTTGGACGTGTTCAAAGACGGGGAAAACCCATTTTTATAAATAGGTTAACACCAATTTTCCAACAATCCCCCACATGAATGAAAATTGATCAAGCATTTTCAAGCTACCTAGATAAAATCCAACAGTTAAATCATGCGTAGGATAGGTAGTCGTTACCCTTTGAACCTTCCTTTAAGATACATATTTATTTTACTAGCGGACCAGTAGATTCGATGTCCTTGAACTGTTCTGCCATTTATGTAAATAATCAATATGTGTCGCACATGATTCTCCCTGACCTAGTTAGGTTCTCATTGATGTGCCCGTTATGGTCATGGACACTTGCTTGGTTCTGTAAGAGCTCTTAGGAATGTGCCCATACAATTCCATTTGAAGCGACCCCACTTCT